TTGCATTTCGTTTTTTCTGCCTAAGTGGAGTCTCTTGCATTTGTCCCTGTTCACTGTGTGAGTTTTGGCCCATCATCTCTAATCTGTCAAGATCGTTTTGAATCCTGCTCCTGGAGTCTTGGCTCTCCCTCCCAATTTGGTGTCATCTGCAAACTTGATGATCATGCCTTTTTTGCAAGGTCTTTAGCCTTCTCTGCCCAAGAGTCATAGAATCCTAGGGTTGGAAGAAACCTCGTGGGCCACCCAGTCCAACCTTCTTCCAAAAAGAAGGAAAATCCCATTCAAAGCCTTCCTCCCTGACAGATGGCCATCCAAGAAGGCCTCCAAGAAGGAGCCTCCACCACACTCCAGGGAAGAGAGAGAGCTTCACTGTTGAACAACTATCAGCAGTGATTCAGGAGGAATCTCCTTCCTTTCCTGTAGTTTGAAGCCATGGTTCCATTGCGTCCTTGTCTCCAGGGCAGCAGAAAGGAAGCCTGCTCCCTCCTCCCTAGGACATATTCCCCTCACACCTTGATCACTGGCCCTCATCGTGTCTCCTCTCCTCCTTCTCTTCTGCAGGCTAAACATGCCCAGCTCTTTCAGCCTCTCTTGTCCTGATAGGGCTTGTCATGAGCATAAACTGTAGTCTTCACTGGTCCCTCTTGTCTAACTAGTGACGGGACATCCCATCATCCAGTGAATTGGGCACATCGAGCCATGGTAGATTGAACTATTGACAATGTGGGGCTCAACCTTCTGCAACTCAAGGATCATCCTTTTTAGACCCTATATGCTCTGGCTTGCTACTGCTTACTGATATAGCCATGGACATTGAAAACCTCATTCATCCCCACATCTGTTGACATGAAAATCTGGACGTTGCCTTTGACATCACTGACGCAGAATACGCTTCTGTGTCCGTCTGTCCTGGTTCAGAGAGGAAAGAGGAGAAACCAGGCTGCGGACGACAACTGGGCCAGGACTTGAGCCTGGATGGACATGCTGAAGCCTTCCTTGGTGGCTTTGAAACCCACTTGGCTACAAGTTATAATTATTGATCCAATCCAAGGCAGGATGGTCATCATCTTAGACCAGGCATGGGCAAACATGGGCCTGACGCTGTTAGAAACTGTGGGAGTTGAAGTCCAAAACACCTGGAGGGAGGGTCGATGTTGGGCCAGGCCTGCACTATACTAAGTTAATGCGGCTTCTCTCTTCCTTTCACATTTTGTTTATCCATCCTTCCTTCCTATCCTTTCAGGAAGAAGAGGGGGGTCTGGCCAGGCCTGGGCCTCGCAGGCACCGCGGAGGGGGAGACTTTGCCTTGGGCTTCATCTTTGCTGAGAAGGAGGCTGCCTTTGCAGCAGGAGGCGGGAGCTGGGCCGAGGCGCTGGGGCAGATGCTGCGGAAGAAGGTAAAGTCTGGCTTCCCCTCGGGGTGGTGTGGGGGGGGGGAGGGGAAGGGAAGGAAGGCACCTCAGGGAGAGTCGGGACCTCTGTGGCGGCCTGCCCTCTCTCACCGCTTCTCCTCCTCCTAGAAATCAGCCACCAGCCTCGACGAGAAGATCGCGGCCGTGAGGAAGAGGAGGAGGGACCAGGTGAGGGAGATGGGGCTTCATTAACTGTGACACTTTTTTTTTGTTCCTGGATTATAAATGTTATTATTTCCTACTTGGTTCTGTCATGAACCTAAATGGTTCCTGTTCTTTTGATGCAGAGTGTTCAAGGAATAGTGATGTATGTTAGATCAATGAGACACTTCAGAGACCAAATTTGGTTTTGCCACTTTTCATGTAACATTTATGGATTAGGATCACATCAAGAGAGAACTCTCATCCATTCATTTCATACACTCCATCATACTCACAAACAGGCCTCTTAGAATGAAGATGATCCGTCTCTTCTTATTTGTAACTTGGGGGAATGCCTGTATATGTAGAATAAAGATTAAACCACCAATGCTAATGCGATCTCAATTTAAAAGCACTGGTCTTGCAGGAAGATTTGGTCTCCTGTGAGCATTATTAGACTGAGTCTTTTATAGAAATATTTTGTTGATGTAGTCCCAAAGTTGTAAATTCATGATAGACATCTTCCATCCTGGCTCCATCTCAGTTTCCTGGCCAGATGTTGATTCTTCTTGATTGGTGTTGATCTTATGTTGACTTCCTTCATAACATTGTAAGCATTGATCTTATCACTGTCCAGTTGTTATCAGAATTTACTTTTCAGTTCTTACTAATAACTTTTAATTACAGTCCAGCAATCAGGTAAGTTTGTTGTTGCAGGCCTTAATATTTTATTGGTCCTTCCAAAATTATTAACTCCATCCATACATCTTCCATACTTTCATCCATTCCCACACATCATTTCAAATCCACATTTATCCAATCTGCAATGATCTTTTCAAGATAAGGGCGCTGGGAAGCCCCAGGGGTCAGGGGTTTGGGCAGAGCAAATGCCAGACTGACCAGCATTTCTTTAGGAGAAGCAGACCAAACTGGGCTCAGCGAAGCAGGTGGATGAAAAAGTGGACCAGGAGGATGAGGAGAAGGCAAACAGCGAGGATGAGGAGGAGGAAGGGAAAGAGGAAGAGGAGGAGTCAGAGTATTCCTCAGCAGACGAGAGCCTCTTTGCCAAAGCGGGTAAGGAGGGTCATGGGAAGGCGGCAGGTTGTGCATGTCCTGGAGTCAGGAGCTCAGCCTGTGGTTGTGTTTCAGAATCAGGGTGCTTTGGATGTGGGGAGTGATGCCAATGAGGTACAAGATGGCAATGGTTTGGTCAATGATATTGATGCAGAGAAGGACCAGGAGATCCCTGTTCAAAGTATAGTTTCCCATGAGAATGTCCCTGAAGGGTGTGGAAATGATGGTGTGCTCCCTGAATTGCTGCCAGAGAGTTCCCATGATTCTATCATTCTGTGACATTGTGGCTGAAAGGTTTGATGGTGGTCCTTTGGTGCCTTTTGTAGATACACTCAAACTGAAACAGCGGCGGAAGCGGAAACGAGGCGGCGAAGAGGTGAGCTCCTGAAGTGTGGGCAGCCAGGGCTTTCCCCTCCCATTGAAGCCTCCCCTGGAAGTGTGTGTTGGGAGTGGACTCTTGCCGAAGGCCAAAACACCCTCCTTTAGCTGACAGGCTTCTGGTTCTCTCTTGCCCCCCTCCCTTGGTTTCCTTGGTTCGGTTTTCTAGGCAGAAGAGCTGTGTTTTGGGGAAGATGCTTCTCAGTACGACGACAGCCTCTCCTTCCAGGACATGAACCTCTCCCGGCCTTTGCTGAAGGTATCCTGCCACTTAAATGCTTTTTCTTTGGGGAGGAGGATGAGAATACGGGGCACTGTGATTATATGTCAATACATATAATCTCAATATAATATTACATATATTGTGACTGTGTAAATGGAAACTTGTGTCTGAAAGCTTCTACAAACCAGCGCGGGCATTAAGATTTGCTGGGGAGGTCCTTCTTTGGTCCCACCACTGTCTCAAGCACTGTTGGTGGGGTTGAGAGAGAGGGCCTTCTCAGTGGTGGCTCCCTGGCTCTGGAATATCCTCCCTGAGGAAATGAGATGAGTCCCCTCACTTCAGGCTCTTCAGAAAGGCCTTTGGTCCTGAGTAATCCATGGCCAATGTGATGAATTGATGGATTGTTGTGATAGATAGCTGGCCCGCAGGTTCCACTGCTTTTTAGGAATTTTATGGTTTTCAAAGTTTTGTGATTTTATCAATGGGATTTTTATGAGCTGTTGATTGTACTTGTGCCATCGTTTTTGTGCTTATTTATTTATTTACATTTATATGCTGCCCTTCTCACCCCAAAGGGGACTCAGAGCAGCTTACAAGATATATAGGCATACAATATATTATATTATTAGCATAGTACAATATCTTTATTATATTGTCGAAGGCTTTCATGGCCGGAATCACTGGGTTGTTGTAGGTTTTTTCGGGCTATATGGCCATGTTCTAGAGGCATTGTCTCCTGACGTTTCGCCTGCATCTATGGCAAGCATCCACTGGCAGAAAACGCAAATGCCTGAAGGGTGGGCAGCATGGCACGGGACACAAATCAGCAGCTGTCGTAATAATAATAATAATAATAATAATAATAATAATAATAATAATAATAACAACTTCATTTTTATACCCCGCCAACCATCTCCCTTAGGGGACTCAGGGTGGCTTACAAGGGACATGCCCAAGATTACAATTAAACCACAAATGTAAAACACTTTAACCAATTAAAACATTAGATAAAACAAATACCAACACAATTGAAAGCGGTATAAAAACAGTATGGCGGAAAGAAACATAGCTGAGGTACAGATTCAATGAGTGCAATACATTTTTACAGGAGCGCAGTGCAACAATACAGTAAACTGGGCAGGAAATACTGTCAAGCACACGTTGAGGTATTTTACACGCATGCCAGTGTAAAATGCGGGCAGGTGTAAAGGGTGGACTGGTGTAAACTGCCATTGCTGCCATAAGAGAGGGAACCAGGTGAAGGAGGGAGCATCCTTTGCAAAGGAGGTGTGGAAGCTTCAGCTGTAGAGTCAGAGTGGTGCTTCCTGTTTTGGTTCATGCCGGAGTCCCCTCCCTTGCTTTCCTATTGTCAGGCGATATCTGCCTTGGGCTTCAAGCAGCCGACCCCCATCCAGAAGGCCTGCATCCCAGTGGGGCTGCTGGGGAAGGACATCTGTGCGTGCGCAGCCACAGGGACAGGTAAGAGGGGCAAGGTGTGTTTTTGGGTGAGGACAAAGCCTTGGGAGGGGTGGCATGTGCTGATCTGCCTTCCGGCGCCTCCCTCGCAGGCAAGACGGCAGCCTTTATGCTCCCGGTGCTGGAACGCCTGATCTACAAGCCCCGCCAGGCGCCGGTCACGAGGGTCCTGGTGCTGGTTCCCACCCGAGAACTGGGCATCCAGGTGCATGCCGTCACCAAGCAGCTGGCCCAGTTCTGCAGCATCACGTCCAGCCTGGCAGTGGGTGAGTGACCCTTCTGCCTCTATTGGTTTAGTGAAGATATCTGTGTCCTTCCCTGCTTCCAAAGGCATCAGACAGGGGCCTTTAGAGCCTTGTTATTGGTATCCAGCATTGCTTCCTTCCCTTTGTGGTTCTTTGTCACAGGAGACAACAGGGTGGGTTGGGTGAGCATCTTTCAGGAGAAACTGCAAGTCGTTTCTGATGTGAGATAATTGGCTGTCTGTCAGGAGCGACTTGAGAAACTGCAAGTCGTTTCTGATGTGAGAGAATTGGCTGTCTGCAAGGATGTTGCCAAAGGGACGCCCGGATGTTTGATGTTTTACCATCCTTGTGGGGGGCTTCTCTCATGTTCTCTCAGCTCTCATGGGAGCTGGAGCTGACAGAGGGAGCTCAACCCACTCTCTCCTGATTCGAACCACTGACCTGTGAGTCAGCAGTCCTGCTGGCACAAGGGTTTAACCCACTGTACCACCAGAGGCTCTTACTGGAACAGATAAGTCTAAATCATCACTGTAAGTGTTATGGGAGCTTCTGTTATGCCTTCCTGCCTGGCAGAATTGGGCTGGACTAGATGGCTTCTGGGCCCCCCATCCAATTCTTGTTCAGTCTGTGATCCCTGTGTGTTGCCCCTTTCAGGTGGCCTGGACCTCAAGACCCAGGAGGCCGCTCTCCGCTCGGGACCAGACATCCTCATTGCGACCCCCGGCCGCCTGATTGACCACCTGCACAACTGCCCCTCCTTCCACCTGGGCAGCATCGAGGTCCTCATCCTGGATGAGGCTGACAGGTGAGAGAAGGGGGCATCCAGAGCAGGTCATGACCTGGATAGCAGGGCCTTTGTGTGTGTGTGTGTGTCTGTGTGTAGGGGGGAGGGTTGTTGAGTGAGTCGGCTTATTAACAAAAGACCCTCCCCATAAATGTACAGCAGAATAACTTATGAGCAGCAGGATGACACAGCACTGGTAGCCCTAAGTGACAAGTGACAGACCAATGTTACTATCTCTTCATTTGGAGGCTTTTCTTTGTAGTAAAATAATATGATTGCACTATTTACAAGAACTAGGTTTCCACAGCACAAATAAACAAACGCATAGTGTTGCACTCCAGAACAGGAATCACCCTCTGACTTTAAACACCACACGTTGAATAGAAAAAAACAATCCTTTCATTGAAGATAAGGGAAAAGCAGCAAAGTAAAAAGCACTTTAAAGAAATAGGTAAATCCAATTGGGCAAGAAGATAAGTTTTATAAGGAGAAACAAATTAGTCCAAGGTAGTGTTCAGCGACGTTCATAAAAGCAAAGTCCAGACATTTCCAAAACAATCCAGAAAATCAGGAATACATTGATCCAAGGCTTGGGTAAGCAATCGTGAAATCCAGGAATCCAAAACCATGAACGAGAAATATCTTAGCATGAAACTTCAAAGCAAAGTTTCCATAAAACAAGGATGAGAACTTGGCATGATTCTAAATGATGCTTCGTCTGACTACACATCCCAAACTTGAGACTTTTATCCCCTCGTTAGCTAGGTCACTAGCGGTCAGAAATTGGTTTCTCTTTAGTTGTGGCTTTGTTATTGTTTTCTGCCGAAGCCTGGCAGAGCGTCTAAGCCTTTGCACAGCTCTCCTGTTTTGACTGAACTCTTCTCGTCTATCTTTTGGCTCGTTGTCTACTTGCTCATTAATTTCTGCAGGTGCCAAGCTATTTTCATGTTCCCTCTCATGAGAACTCTCTGGTAACAATTTGGAAAGCACACCATCATCCCCACACCCCTCAGGGACATTCTCCTGGGAAACTACAGGGATCTCCTGGTCATTCTCTGCATCAATATCACTGACCAAACCATTGCCATCTTGAAACTCATCTTGAACTTCATTAACATCATTCCCCACATCCAAACTACCCTGATCCTGAAACACAATCACAGGCTGAACTCTAACACATAGTAGCTTTACACACAGCAGCCTTCACACTGGAGCCTTCCCACAGTAGCTTTTTACGCACAGCTGGAGCTTTACCACAGGAGGCTTCTCTCACACAGAGGTTTACCTCACACTCCACAGGACGACACTAGCTTTGGCCCACTAACTCTAACAGGCTTCAGCCTACTCACTCTCCTCAGGACGACACCCGCTTTGACACCCTCTAACAGGCTTCGGCCTACTAACTCTTTTAGTGCTTGGCTCACACTTTTGTAATCAAAAATACCTAGTTAATTTTTAATATTTCTGACAGGGGTCCAGGTCAAAGGGTGGCATGGGGTCTCCTTCCTTCCATAGCTTGGTGGGCTTGAACTGCAAGGTATAGATAAGCAGCCCCCTTGGGCCACTACTCTCACACGGAGGGGCTCCTCCTTCTCTGCACACTGCGTTGGGGCCTCTTCCAAGCCTGTGTTTTTATGCTTCTAGGATGCTGGACGAATACTTTGAGGAGCAGATGAAGGAGATCATTCGCCTGTGTGCCCGCCACCGCCAGACGATGCTCTTTTCTGCCACCATGACGGAGGAGGTGATGAGGGCGGGCGGCTTCTTTGTAGTGGGGGGGGGGGGG